GATTCAAAGTAGGACCTCATCTGCATCATCGTTGACAATGGACACAACCTCAGTGTAAGCTAATCAAGCCAAACGATTTGAATTTCCCCCTCCTAGATGGCTCTGTTCATGTTAACTGACTACCAAATATTACCAGACATGCCACAATTCATATTTTGACAGTTGTTTGTTAAAATCACTACAGCATAAAATCCTATGAAATCTCCAGCCTAGTTTTTTATCAGACTTGGGCTCATGGTGAGGAAGCTGAGATGGTAGCATACTTACAGCAAGCAGACAACAAAGGGAGACGCTTAGCGCTCCCAGGGTTATGTCAAATTTTCCATGCACCAAAACTAAAATGAAATAGTTGAATTGCTGAGAGGTAGATAAGTAAAATAAACAACTAATTTCATACAGGGAAGTTGGGAGGGAATCATATGGACCTCATTCTGTTGTCTCCAAACACTTTATTGGAGGAGAAAATGGAGCTGAGTAAACTTTAAACTCTCATGTAGGGATGAAATGCTTGTGTGTCCCTGGCAGATGTGGAAAGGAGAAGAAATGGGCAAGGGAGAATCAAATATCCCATCGCTGCAGGTTTGCTGAGGGAAAGAGCACTGCAAAGATCTCACATCTGGCAATCATTTGTCAATAGCTGGAAAGAGAACGGCAGGAAACTTTCTGGCTCTTGGAGAAGATGAAAAGACAAAAACCATGTGTCACATACACATATACACACACTCTCTGCACTGGTACAATGACTATTACACTTCTTCTCCACCCTCCCCTAAATTTAATGATCTTCAGATAGACTCGATCTACCCTACGGTCAAAACCATGCAGTCACTTGACTTGTTAGCACTGTAGTGTATCTACATTTTTTCAAATAAACCCCATGGCTGATGCTAGAAAAATCAAAATCAGTCAAGCATAGACCGCCTGGTACTTTGGGCAGGAATCCTTGCGGTTTAGTCAATAAACAGAATCTGAATGAAAGACACCACAGTAACTAGACAGTAACGTTTTGAAAAGTTCTTAACCTGAAAAGGAGGGTAAAGGACAGAGGTGACCACAGGGATAAGGCCACCAGCTCTCTTAGCTCATTCTGCCTGCTGTATAGTTGTGTTTATCACAAGGTCGTCCATTTAAAAAAAAAAAAAGAGTAGCCTTATTTGGGGGGGGGGGATGTTATGAATGAATATTGGAAGGAAACTGCTATTTTTTTAAAACAATTATTACTCTTTAGTAAGGTAGGAAGGACAGGAACCTCAGGTTCAACTTAATCCACACCAATCATAAAATACTGAGACGCTGCTGGCGTCAGTGTGAGTTCTGAAACATGAACAGCTTTGCACCAGGTAGATTCATCATAGAATAAAACATTAATTTTTAGATACCTCATACAAAATTGATTAACTACTCCCAAATCACAGAAATTCCAATCTGTGCACAGTGACAGATAACCTTAAATGGGCCACTTTTGGTTCTCCCGTCTGCAGCATTTAGCTAGCAGCAGACAACGAATGCATCGCTGTGTTTCTGTAGTGAATACTGCAGGTTGTTTAATAACCTGGCAAATTCACAGTAGCTTGTCAAATTATTACAGAAACAGTGTCATCACTAAACAAGCCTGATCACGGTTAATTACAATGCAGACCAGAGAGCAGCCACAATTGTTCATTAATTACAGGAAGCACCTCATTTAAATTTTATAGAAATTTACACTTGCACCCCAGTATGTCTGGAAAAAAAAAAAAAAAGTGATCTTTCACGCATTCACAGAAGAAAGGAGTCTGTGGTTTATGAAACATCACAGTAAATTGTGTCTAATCTGGTACTGAAATATTGGTTCTTTATTTACTGTAATTTTCTAAGCACTTCAGTGGTGAGAAATATCCTGTCAAACCCTACATTTTCAGTTCTGAACCAAGAAAACAACTGAGCCAAGCTTAGCATAACTTGCTGCGTGGTGAATCAGAGCTAGAATAAGTCATTTGCTTTTGACTAATTAAAAATAACAGTTCAGAGCAACTAAAGGGGGTCTAAACGAAAATAAGCAATTCTTACAAAATGATGACATAAAGTCAAAATTTTTATTAACTATCCTCTCAGTTAAAGAGTCCTTGTGGCACAAACAGTTAAGCATTCCGCTAACTAACTAAAAGGTGGCGGGCTGAATCCATCCAAAAGGCTAAGAGAAAGGTTAGGCAATCTGCTTCAGTAAACATGTTGTTAAGTGCCATCAACCCTGTATAGGGGCTGCCAATGAGTGGCTGGTGGGGTTGAACCACTGACCCTGTGGTTAGCAGTCTAGTGCTTATCCTACAGCACCACACCAGGACACCTCATTACAGATAACAACTAAGAAAATCTAATGGGTCAGTTTTGTTATTAGTGTAAGTCGACTTCAGGGTACCCACCACTCAAGCTAAAACAATTTCCTACCTCTTTCAAAATCCACTGAAGAAACTAAAGTTAGAAAGTGATTTCCAACTTTTTTTTTTTTTAACTCAAGCAGATTAACACAAAAACATAGCACAAGCCTTTGCAAAAGTCAAGACATGAATAGTTCAAGAATGACATCCCTTTAAACTCAAAGGTACATTCATAGAAGAATGTCAGGGAACTTGGGATTATTTAATAATGAAGTTACTAAGACATCCTAAATTTTAGGAATAAAAATTGAACCATTAAAAGGTTTAAGAGCAGAAAACGCCACCAACAGACAAATGAACTCATGTCTCTGACTGTTAGTGAAAATATAAAAGGAGATCAGAGATGGCAGCTAGGTGTCTCAAGGAAAATCCTATGATAGAAGGGATATAAACAATCTCTTAAATCAACGTACAAGAGGTGATTTTCAGAATCAAGATGCCAAACCGCCAACCTTCTAGAAGTTGTGATGCGTTCCTTGGGGAAATTGGAGACCCAAGCAGGAAACATCCCATACATTTTTTTCCAACAATTCCTACAGTGATTTTTAGGGTATACAGTTGGACTTAAAAGAAGAAATGGCTTCATTTTCTCGGGGCTGGGTACCAAAATATATGTATGGTACAACAACAATAAAGGGAGTCCAAATTAAAAACTATTCCTAAAGTTGTTACCCGACAAAAACATGTTACATCTTGACTTTCACATCATATACATATCCACCAGGTTTTTCTAAATTAATGAAAATCAAGTGTGTCTCAGTGAACTTTACCAAATCACTATAGTTGATCACCTTTTAACAGATTAAGTTTGCCCATCCAGTCCACCAAAGTAATATTACAAAATGAGGATTCTAGCAAAATGAACGCATTCTCATGACTTTGCAAAGAATCTGGTCTTCATTGCATGAGCCAAGCTTCATTGTCAGTTCCACAGACTGTGTATCTACCTACACACCAGGGTTTGATTTAAACTTGGTAAATATATATGGTTTCTCCCTTGCTATGTCAAACAAAGTAATGCGCTCTATAGGTCTTTCTTCATTTTTTTATTACACACACACACACACACACAGAGGTCTGCAAAAGCCATCTCTCTTTGTCCCGTTAACTCCAGGTTCAAAAAAACAGATCATCCAACACAATCACCCATGACAGACCGTTCCAGGTGATGTGTTTGAAGAACATCACTCGCCTCACCCAAAGAGGTCAGGGATCATGCTACTTTCCACGAAAAGTCTTCCATCACACTGCATATAAGTGCCACATACAAGCTGTTAGGCTCTAAACCTGGGAAATACATGAGCACATCTCATATGTGTCACACCTGTGTTTCTGCTGAATCCCAGCCATACACCACCCAGAGGTACCAGCTTGTGGCACAACAGAGCTCAGGTGGTCTCCCCTAGGCCAAGAGCAGGTGTGCAGGAGATGGTCTACCCTTAAAGTAGCATCAAAGGCTGAAACTCTTCCTAGATAGAACCCCTTCCACACGCTCTCCTACTGTGAAGAAGTCCAACTGCAAAACAGTTCTTTTTTCTCATGTGGTGTGTCTAAGTCAGCGAGAATGTTTTCAAACTGAACTCACAGTGCTCATCCCATGAAAATTTAGGAAATGATACACAATGGAGTTTCTCTGAAAGGAAACCCTGTGAATTTGCTCATGCTAAGGGACACCATCCATGTAGAAGTTTCCATTACTATCTTAGCATCGTTGGCACACGCATTCCTTAAATAAGAAAGGATAGATGGAAGAGGAGACAAGCCTCTGGCCAAGGTGTCACATCTTATTATTTTTAATTTGCAATACGCCAAAATCCTTCCAACACTTCAGACACGCACAAACAGGATTCCAAGCCAGCTGTCTCACTGAAAATTAGATTTTGTTAATAAACTTGTATTACACTACTGAACAAAGCACCCAATCTCTGAAGAAAGAAGGCATCCATCCTATGTGTCTTTTTAAATGACTACTTGAAAAGCTGCTAGTCCCAAGATGTGGGGGACCACAAAGTAGGGAGCACCCATAACACAGGAAGTACAGTGGCTTTGAACATGATTCCAAATAAAAAATTATTTTTTTAAAAAAAGATAAGGTAACGTGTGTTGAATGTCTGCTATATGTCAGGTCCTGTGCTAATTGATGGACAAGCATTCTGTTGTTTAATCTTCATGGTCACTGTCAATGGTTAAGTCTCTTTTATAAATGAGAAAACATGAAGCTCAGTGTCTGAACAGAACCAGTTGCCACAGAGTCACTTCCAAATCAGAGACGTCATGAGTTGTCGAGAAAACTGGGATCCAAGCGTGTTCAGAAACAGGATGTCTACCAAGATGCCTCTGGGTGGCTTTGAACCTCCAAACTTACAGTGTGTAGCGGAGTGTGTGACAGTTTGTACCACACCTAGGGACTTGTGAGGTTCAGTGAAGCCAACCTTTTGTTAATCTAGGTAGTCAGCCTTCTAGGATCACATTCCAGACACATATGCTCCACACCGGTCCCTCAGTGCTTACCCTTCTGTCAGCCTGCAGAGTCCACGGACGCCGTCAACCCACCCCCACCTTATAAAATATTAAGACTCCAACCTGGACTTCCAGCCTCTGCTCTGGCTCCTCCAGGTTTGGGCAGAAGTCTGCACCCAGCACTCTGCCAGCACATGCCACTGGAACCTGGGGGAACACGGTCGAGTTAGATGCTGGCATGGGGGCTACTGAGAACTATACAGTCCCATTTCATCCCAACAGAAGTGGTGACATCCCAAATGCAGGTCTGGAACAAGTCATCAGGCCTTGTGTTTGGCCCTCAGTACGTCTATTATTTTGTAAATACCAATAACTCCCATTCCGAGATGACCCCATGCACAAAAGAACAAAATGTTGCCCTGTCTTGGGACATCACCGTGCTTAGTTTCATATCAGGACCACTATTATCAATGGGGTTTTCAATGACAGAGTATTTCAAAGAAGGTTGCCAGACCTTTCTTCCTAACCTAGAAGCTCTGGTGAAATCTGCTGAGTATGGTAACAGCACACAAAGCACCCCGGAAGAACTCGGCGGTAACTGAATATAACATGCAAGCCAGAAACAGGAGCCAGGCCTGCAGCATAAAGGTAAGAGTTCTACTACTGAACCCCCAATAAAGTAGGGGCTAAGTAAATGTCGTGTCCCTTGTAGCCATACCAAATACTACAAAGAACACTTCAATCACTCTTAGTGGCCAGGAGGAGGAGGGCGGTATGAAGATAAAAATAAAAGAGAAGAAAAGGAGGGGAGGGAAAAAGACACCTAGAATCTCTGCTTTATGTTTTCGTTTTCGGCATGTATTCTTCCCGCTGCCCTTTAATTTTCTTATCTGAGAAATTTTAAAGTTGCTTTCTATGAAGCATAAATTTCCTTTCCGATCTTAAAACATCTCTTACAATTTACTCTACTGTTCCTGATATAGGGTAACACCCACTGCTCCACCGAAGAGGATTCCAACTCACAGCGGCCCTACAGAACGAGTACAACTGCTCCTGAGGGGTTCCTAAACTCTAACTCTTTATGGGAGCACTCAATTTTCTCCTGTGGAGTGGTTGGTAGGTTTGCAACACATTGTGTTTAACAGTCTAACACTCACACCACTGTGCCCTGCCCCTAAGGCTCCTTTGATGTAGGATATTGTTGTCAATGTTGTGAAGTGCCTTCCAGTAAGTTCCGACCCTTAGCAAACCTGTATAGATTTTACGAAAAACAGCTGGTGGATTTGAACCACCAACTTTAAGGATCAAAATGACCTTGCAGTCCAGTGCAATATCCTGCAGTGCCACACAGCATACATCAAAAGGTCAAATCAAACCCTGCCATACTGCTCCTATAAGATAGAGTAGAACCGCCCTACAGTGTTTCCAATGCAATAAAAAAAAAAATAGCCTGCCACAGCTTCCTTCCTCAGGTTCGAATTACCAGTGTTTCAGTTAGCATATGCGAGCTTTAGCCACTTAACCACCAGGGTTCATCAGAGAACCCAAACCGGAAAACAACAAACTCACTGCTACTCATTCAATTCCAACTCATAACAATCTGTATAGGATTTCCTAGACTGCAAATCTTTATGGGGACAACCAGTCTCAGATTTCTCCCACAGAGAATCTGGTGGATTTGAACTGCCAGACCTATGGTTAACAGTCTATCACTTTCTCACAGGCAGGCTCAGTTTTTATTTACTTATTATAACACGACTAATTTTATGTTTAATGAGTTTACTAAGCTCATCCTAACAAAAGAATGCATCAGATTCAACTCCAAGGCAGGAGATTTGGTTTTAGGGTTAATAAAAATAACAACTGCTACAATTTAGTGATTCCTTCTCTTTATCTAGATTCTATACTGAAAGCCACTAAGAAACTTTCAAAACCAAGTCAACCATTATCATTAGTCAATATCACCTCAAAATGTTATCAATATTCACATTTGCTTCATTTTAGATTAAGATGAATAAAAAGTATTTAGATTCTCTCTGAACTTAGTGAGCTTTTAACTTCCTTAAATCACATCTCGGTATTTCCAAACACAGGTTATTTACAAATTCTTTCGTTTTTGGAGATGCCAAAGACTTTATTTTGCTTTTGTGACATGAAGAACATCATACATGAAGAAAGCAAAAAGTCAATAAGAAGACAAGAAAGAAGGAAAAGATCAAAATGGATATCAGAAGAGATATTGAAATTTGCTCTCCACCATAGAGATGCTAAAGCAAATAGAAGAAATGAGGAGGTCCAAGAGCTGAACAGAAAATTTCAAAGGCCAGCTCCAGAAGACAAACTCAAATATTACAACAAAATGTGCAAAATTCTGGAGTCAGAAAATCAAAAAGGAAGAACACGCTCAGCATTTCTTAAGCTGGGGGAATGGAAGAAAAAAATTCAAGCCTCAACTTTCGTTATTGAAGGATTCTCTGGGTAAATTATTGAATGATGCAGAAAGGATCAAAAAGAAGATGAAAGGAATACACAGAGCCACTGTATCAAAAGGAAATGGTTGATGTTCAATATGGTTGATGTTCAACCATTTCAAGAGGTAGCATATGATCAAGAGTCAATGATACTGAAGGAAGAAGTCCAAGGTGCATTGAAGGAATTGGCAAAGAACAAGGATCCAGGAATAAATGGAATAAAAATTGAAATCTTTCAAGAAAGTGAGACGGCACTGGAGGCACTCACTCATCTATGCGAAGAAATTTGGAAGACAACTATCTGGCTGACTGATTGGAAGAGATCCATATTTGTGCCCATTCCAAAGAGAAATGATCCAACAGAATATGGAAATCATCAGATAATCTCTTTGATATCCCATGCGAGTAAAGTTTTACTCAAGGTAATACAGATATGACTGCAAGCATACATGGACAGAGAACTTCCAGAGGTTCAAGCTGGATTCAGAAGAGGACATGAAACGAGGGATACCACTGCTGATAGCCAATGGATCTTGGCTGAAATCAGAGAATACCAGAAAGATATTTATCTGTGCTTTATTGACTATGCAAAGGCTTTTGATTATGTGGATCATGACAAACAATGGACAACATTGTGAAGTATGAGTATTCTGGAACACTTAATTGTGCTCATGAGGAATCTGTACCTGGACCAAGACGCAACTGTTCAAACAGAACATGGGAACACTGAATGGTTTAAAATTAGGAAAGGTATGCGACAGGGTTGTATTCTTTCACCATAATTATTCAACCTGTATGCTGAGCAAATCATCCGAGAAGCTAGGTTATAAGAAGAAAAACGTGACATCAGGATTGGAGGAAGACTCATTAACAAGTTGCAATATGCAGATGATACAACCTTGCTTGCTGAAAGTGAAGAGGACTTAAACCATTTACTAATGAAGATCAAAGAGCACAGCCTTCGGTATGGATTTCATCTTAATGAAAAGAAAACAAAAATCCTCACCACTGGACCGATAAACAACATTGTTATCAATGAAGAAAAGATTGATGTTGTCAAGGACTTCATTCTTCTTGGATCAACTATCAACACTCATGGAAGCAGCAGTCAAGAAATCAAATGACATATTGCATTTGGCAAATCTGGTACACAAGACCTTTCCAAAGTGTTGAAGAGCAAAGATATCAGCTTGACCCAAGCCATAGTACTTTCAATCACCTCATAATCATGCAAAAGTTGGACAGTGAATAAGGAAAACTGTAGAAGAATTGATGCTTTTGAGTTATGGTGTTGGAGGAGAATATTCAAAGTACCATGGGCTGTCAAAAGAACAAACAGATCTGTGTTGGAAGAAGTGCAGTCAGAGTGCTTCTTGGAGGCCAGGATGGCGTTATGTGACCCTGTGTAGGATTTCTGAGGCTGTAAATTTTTTTTTTTTTTTTAAGTTTTTATTGTGAATTGAGTGATAGTTTACATGGAAGAACATCAGTTTTACACTCATCATATTTCATTTCATTACAAAGATTACAATCCCTTCCATGCATCATCATTCAACAGTATTTGTTTCCATTCTATCTGTTGTTGTTTTGGATGTACACAAACACACTCAGGAATATATAATCATTTAAACAACCAAAGGACATATTCTGCAAGCCTCCCTCCTGACCACCAGCACATAGCCTTTCACTTTCCATGAGTCTAGGGTCCTCAGCTCCTCTCTCTCTCCTTGTCTTCATCTCTGCCTCCATCTCTGGTGTCACTGTTTCTCTGGATAGGATCCCCTATTCCACTCAAGCTCTTTTCTCTTGATGGTCCTAGGGTTCTCTGTTCCTGGAATATAACATTAACTACTTCCCCCTTTATGTTACAAAACTTCTACATTTACAGTTGTGACGGTTGCAATTGGTCATGATAACAATTACTATCGAATCATATGAATATTATCCCCATCTCCTTTCACCAAACCCATCTGGACAAGATGAAAACTATTCAGTGGAGATTCTACCTTCCCACACACACTCTGAAACTAAAGTCCCTCTTGAAAGCTTGTAAGCCAGTCAATTTGTGTCTTTAGCGCCTCCTCCTACCACCACCACCCATTTTAGGTAGCCAATTTCTAAGTTGCCTATCCCTATCAACCTTGTATACAGAGAGGATACGATTGATGCTTGATGTGAAGACTCCTTCCCTCTCAGTTGGTATTTTGAGTTACAACATCTAAAAGTATAGGTCAAGTTCATCACATTTATTTACAAATTCTTGCATGTGTTATATGCACAATGCACACACATTTCAAAAAAATCTACTCCACTTCATTATACAAACTGCTCTTCAGTGTCTAGTTTTGTTTGTATCTAACTCCAGTTTGGACCATCTGTGCTAATCAATTCTCTCTGTTCAGAGATGCCTTTGCAGCCAGTGTGTTGCCTTTTAAACCACAGATCAGTTCATTTCCCTAAACTGAAACACTTTTCAAAGCACTTTACTTTGCAAGTTCAATAGTAAATATCATTAACTTTTAAAAATAGCTCTTAGTCAACTCTTCAACCATTTTTGGATTCAGTTCTCTAAATCCATTCAACTTACCTAACTTTTCTTCCTACCTACATCCAGTAAGGTGATATGGTCAGAATATCCCTTGCCTTTAAAATCCACAAATTTTCACCAGTGGAGTCCATGAAAGAAAGAGCAGTCATGCTTGCTGAACCCTTAGACTGTTCTAGCCATCCATCATG